CCCCCGAAGTTTACTTCACTCTCCATATTTATATCCAAAGAAGTTGGTATGAAAGATGCCGACATAAGAATCTTGACTTTCTAAAAGCCTTCAAAAAAAAAAATAAATAAATAAAAAGTTCTTGTAACTGTAGTGAGTAATCAGAAAGAGGGCATTGCAAGGGTAGGACAGCAGCTTTGGTAGGTTTGAAGTGAGGAGTAGCTGCCCTGGAAAACGGTTGGAAACGTGTTTTGATACTAAATATTGAATAGTCGGAATGAGAGCGCAGACCTATTGTTTTGAGTTTTTTCTTTTTAACGTAAACAGTGGATGTCTTTTTATTCCTAAAGCACATTAGGTAGAATCTTGACAAAAGGCCTTCTAGAGGGATATCATTCTCTTCCCTGCAGAGGTCAACATTTAAGAGGTAGAGGGAAAGCTTCCAAATATATTGGATTTATTTGGTGCATGGATATAGGAAAGGGTCAGGGAAGGGGGCTGCGGAAGTTAAATACAGAGAGTAGATGACTTGTAGATCTCATATGGGAAAGGCTGTAGAATGTGGTTCATGAGATGTTTGATTGTTATCAACGAATAGATCTAAGTCCAAAGGGCACAAAATGCATTTTCTTTTCCACATCCACCCCAAACTGAAGACGGCGCTTGGTATAGACTGAGTTGTGTGTAGGCATAAAGTTTCGCATGCACAGTTTACACCTGTCTACTCAGGAGCATTCGTGTTCTTACAGAGCAGGCACTGTCCTTTTGAACAACTGCACGCTTCTGTCCCTCTTCTGCCCATGTGAGGTGCACTCCCAGCTGTGTGACTGTCCCCCAGTGACTGTCTCCATGCATCCTTGCAGCTCTCCTGGACAGCAGAGGAGGGCAGGTAGAAGTGGATAATGGAAACTTAAAAGTTGAGAGCCTACCATAGGTTCTTCAAAGAGCCCAGGGCTGTGTACCAGCGTGTCTGCTGTCCCTCCCACGGGACTGAACTTTGCCGACGTGTTGGGTGAAAATCTGCTCCTTCGGTCTTAGGTTGTCCGTCTCTGAGCAGTGAGGCCAAACATTCCATGCTGTTGGTTACGTTCTTTCCCCTTTCTTTGGGGTCTTGTATTTATGATTTCTTACTTATTAAGGAAATGAATAGTTGGCCTAAAGTTATAACTGGTTTCTTACTTATGCCTTCTGAATGCTTTCTTCCATGTAAACATTTTTATTTTATGTAGCTAATCCGGTCTGTTTTTGTGCCTGGTTTTCAGTGGTTCTGGACGGTTTAAAGGCTTACCTACTGTGTGAATTTATATGGCAATTCTAGTCTGTCCATGTGTCCCCCCTCCCCCGCCCCCGTCCCTCCTAAACTTCTTTTTAGTCTTCACCTAACCAACTAGATAATGGCTCTCAGCCTGTGGGTCACAACCCCTTTCAAGAGTTGAATGACCCTTACACGGGGATTGCCTAAGACACCCAGAAAACAGAGATATTTCATTATGGTTAAGAACAGTAGCAAAATTACAGTTATGAAGTAGCAACAAAATAATTTATGGTTAGGGTCACCACAACATGAGGAACTGTGTTAAAGGCTCACAGCGTCAGGAAGGTTGAGAACCACTGAACTAGACCCTAGTCGTTAGTCCCCGATCCAACCAGGTAGATCTTAGTTTAGCAGGAGATATGGAGCCAGCTTTAAAAAATATATAGATTAATCATCAAGGTGTTCTTTTTTTTTTTCTTTTTTCCTCAGCACCATTTGTTTATATTTACGATTGGACTTTTTTGTTTGCTTGCTTGCATATTCATTTGTTCGCATTGGGGTCTCTATCTCCGCCTCTTACGTGCTGGGAGCCTAGGCGTGAGCCCCATGCATGATTTCCTTTACTGTTCTGAAATGCTTCCTTCTCTATAGTAAACCTCATATGTATTTGTTTTTCATATTTAGAAACTTCTGTCCCAACAACTTGTCCTTTTGTGCTGATAATCTTGTTTGCATTTTCGTTGCTCTTTTAACTCTCTCCCAGGCTGATATACCTCATTTCCATTATCAGACATTTCTGGCTATTTCTGCCCCTGCTCTCCCGTGAACCTTGCAGAGACTGAGTGTAGCATAGGTTTTAACTTTGAATCTGCTGCCAATGTAAGGCTGCATGGGCGTCTTCACATGTGTGCGTTTTACCCCAAAGGAAAGAGTTAATGGCTCCTGGATTCCCTGCGGTCCCAGGTAGCCCTTCTGACACATTCCAGAACAGTTCTGACGTCAACACCACATAGCTTTTTTTTTTTTTTTTCCTTTTTGGCAGTTTTTCTTCTTTGTCCTGAATCAAAGGCCTTTCCTACGGCTACCCCATGCTATGACATTACTAGGGGTCTTTTTGGAAACTTTCTCAATATTGTTTCTTGAATCTCATTTGTTGATTGCATTGTGACTCCCCAGACATGTGTCAAAGACGTGAGCCTTGGAAGTGTAACAGGTGGCAGACTGGGTAGCAACTTAGGCCAGCGCCTGACGGGAGGTGGTCAGACTGCAGGCGGTCTAGCCTCCTTCAGCCATGTCTCAAAACAAGGCTCAGACCAGAACACGTTCCTGAAAGCAGTTGCGTCTCTTCAGTCATAAGTCTACTGTATACTGGTCATTAAAAAAGAAGAGACAAAGAACCACCAAGCATGCAGTGAGCACGGAGAAAAGAGAACCCAGCTGTCTCAAATCCCGCTGGAAGGCAAACGCTGGCCACAATAGATGTTAGGTGTGTGTCACAGGCTGTGCTTGCCGTCAATGGCCGAGGCGGGCCATGCCAGGGTGATCTAAATAGCCGCGGAGTTTTTAAGGTGCTTTCATCTCTGCCTTGACGAATGCTCTTCTATAGCAAGCAGGGCGGCGTTCAGCTCCAAGCCCACCAGAGCCTGCTTTGATCCTGGGCTAGGCTGGCCGATTCCAGCTGAGCGAATTAACAGTCCCCGACTCCTGTGTTACTGCGCTGGCCTGAGGGGCTGTCACCCCCAGATGGTTGCCATTTCTAGCCACTGCTGTCCTCCCCTCTGTTGTTCTAGCCACAGCTCACCATGACTTTGTGATCTGTGTCCCCCCTCTCCAGAAGTGAACGCTTCTGTGGCTTTCCTGTTGGCCCCAACAGACGGACAGCCGCTCCTTGGTCCGCAGGCCGTATTTGCTCTCTTCCACAAGGGTTGTGTAAACCGCACACCTCCCTGAGTTGGCATCTTGTGCTGTCAGCAGTCCTTGTGGTGTGGAACTATAGAAGCTCATCTCCACATGACTGGTGGTACCCTGGCACTGTTACAGCCACAAATGCCTGGACCAAGGCAGGCTTGGAATCCATGCTGGAGCCCAAGGAGAGTGCACTGATGTGCACTAAAGAGCAGCAGCTTCCGAGCAGTGGGCGTGGGGTTGGTGAATGCTGTCTGCCCGTGGCTTTTGCAGGGTGGAAGCCGTCTGTGGTGGCATTGGAAGACTGCACAGGACTCCCCGTTTCAGCTTCTGTGCCTCTCTAGGCTATGCCTGATCCACACTTGCACTTTGGGTCTCGAAGATCCCAATATCTGCTTCTGTGTGTTGGGATTTCGGGCGCTCCATCATTTTCATCTCTCTCAAAGTGAGCTGTGCTTTCCTGTTACTAGGTGAGAGTGCAGCTCAGCGCTAGGCACTTGGCTAGCTCGCTCAAAGCCCAGGCTTCAGTCCCCAGCATGTTACACACACACACACACACACGTACACAGTTATCTGGGAATCTTTGTGGCTCCAGCGTGTGAAGTGTGAGACGTGCTTTCTTTCCCTGCTGGTGCTCAGTGTTGACTCTGTTGCCCTTCGGAGCTTGAGGGGGCTCTTCAGAGGAAGGCCTCTGGGAGTTCACCTGCCCCGAGGCCTTGCTCGCTTCCTTGCAGAAGGGTGTCCTCAGGGCTCCGCTCTGTCCCGGGTGACGCAGTATTTGTTGTAGGACAGACTGTGGCCATATGTAAAAAGGAAGTGGTTATCTTCTAGAGCTGAGATGTAGTCTGCTGGGGAGCAGACGGAGCAGTGGTGTGCATGTGTGTGTGTGTGTGCATGCATGCGAGTGTGACTAAGAGTGTGTGTGTGTGTTTGTGGATGTGCATGCCTCTGTGTATGCGTGTGTTTTTACGTGAGAGTGTGTGTGTTAATGTGTGTATATGTATGTTTCTGTGTGATGTTTGTATGTGTGTGCATGTGTGTGTGTGTGAGAATGTATGAGTGTGTGGATGTACATGTGAGAACGTGTGAGTAGCTGTGTATATGAGAGTGTGTGTGAGTCTGTGAGAGTGTATACATGTATATGAGTGTGTGTTTATACATGTGTATGGGTATGTGTGTGAGTATATGTGTGTATATGAGCATATATGTGTATGTATGTGTTTGTGTGCATTCATGTGTGTATATGTATTCAGGTGTGAATATATGTACATGTGTATGTTTGTGTGTGTGAGATTGGGTGTGTATGTGTGTTTGAGTGGTTGTATATGGATGTGTGCGTCTGTATGTATATGCCTGTGGATGTGAGTTGTGTTTGTGTACGTGAGAAAATGTGTGTATGTGAGAGTGTAATATACCTATGTGTGTATTTGTGTGAGAGAGTGTGTGAATGTGTCTGTGTGTGTGTGTGTGTGTGTGTGTGTGTGTGTGTGTGTGTGTGTGTTGCACTGGATATTAGGGTTTAGGTATCCATCAGTTCAAGATGTAGGTAGGGAGCTAAAAGCAGAAACAGCTTCTGTAGACACTAGAGAAAACTAGTAAAACACGGTTTGTCTGCTGGTCTTCGCATGGAGCAGGCTACCCCGCCCTCCCCTACACGCTTGGCGCACACCAGCAGCAGCTGGGGAGCCCACCTAGCGAGGCGTGTAGAGGGAAGCTTGAGCCTTCGTGGGTGCCGTGCTTGGTGCGTGAATATGCTCACGGCCGTGCTGAGAGTGTCCTCGGGCATGGTACAGGGAGTTGTTCAGAGATAAGTCAAGGCCTTGCCCACGGGAATCCTAACGATTGTTTCTTTCCTTTTCAGCTCCCCCTGAACAGAACATCCCTCAGGATGGCGGAGGAGGGCAGCAGTGCCAAGGACTCCGAGTCCTTCAGCGTGCTCACCTGGGACCAGGTCAGCCGGCTGCACGAGGTCCTGACTGAGGTGGTGCCCATCCACGGGCGGGGCAACTTCCCGACCCTGGAGATCACCCTGAAGGACATCGTGCAGACTGTCCGTGGCCGGCTGGAGGAGGCTAGCATCAGGGTGCAGGACGTCCGGCTGAACGGCTCCGCCGCTGGCCACGTGCTGGTCAAAGACAACGGCTTGGGGTGCAAAGACCTGGATCTGATCTTCCACGTGGCTCTCCCCACAGAGGCGGAATTTCAGCTGGTGAGAGACGTGGTTCTGTGCTCCCTGCTGAACTTCCTGCCGGAGGGCGTGAACAAGCTCAAGATCAGCCCCGTCACCCTGAAGGAGGCGTACGTGCAGAAGCTGGTGAAAGTCTGCACAGACGCCGACCGCTGGAGCCTCATCTCCCTCTCCAACAAGAACGGGAGGAACGTGGAGCTCAAGTTCGTCGACTCCATCCGGCGTCAGTTCGAGTTCAGCGTGGACTCTTTCCAGATCATCCTAGATTCTCTGCTTTTCTTCTATGACTGCTCCAGCAACCCCATCTCCGAGCATTTCCACCCCACGGTGATCGGGGAGAGTGTGTACGGGGATTTCGAGGAAGCCTTTGATCATCTTCAGAACAGGCTGATCGCCACCAAGAACCCCGAGGAAATCCGAGGCGGGGGCCTGCTGAAGTACAGCAACCTCCTCGTGCGGGACTTCAGGCCCGCGGACCAAGAGGAGATCAAGACCCTGGAGCGCTACATGTGCTCCAGGTTCTTCATCGACTTCCCAGACATCCTGGAACAGCAGAGGAAGCTGGAGACCTACCTCCAGAACCACTTCGCCGAAGAAGAGAGAAGCAAGTATGACTACCTCATGATTCTCCGCCGGGTGGTGAACGAAAGCACAGTGTGCCTCATGGGGCACGAGCGCAGGCAGACCCTGAACCTCATCTCCCTCCTGGCCCTGCGTGTGCTGGCAGAGCAGAACATCATTCCCAGCGCCACCAACGTCACCTGCTACTACCAGCCAGCTCCTTACGTCAGTGATGGCAATTTCAACAACTATTACATTGCCCACCCTCCCGTCACCTACAGCCAGCCTTACCCTACATGGCTGCCCTGTAACTAACCTTAAGACCCGAGGGTTTCCCCCGTGGGAACCCATTTAGGGCAGGGGCTCTCAGGTAGGAGAGCCTCCTCCTTAGAAGTAGGTGTTTGGCTTTTAAGGGGGGAGCTCAGCTCTGATTGTGCTTGTCTTTGTGTACCCGTTGGGACAGGTCCACAGACTGTCATGAGCTAACCCTAAAAGGACCCACATACAATGCCACTCTGGAAGATGCAATAGGAAGCATGACTTCTCCACATCTTTCTAAGATACTCACTATCCTGTCAGTACCCAGACACGGGATTTGAACTCTGCACGGTCTCTGGGATTGGGAGAGCTGGGCAGCACGTGAGACGCGTCAAAGGCCCTCTTCTCGGCTGAGCCTACGGTAGGCCCCGAGGGTCCTCTCCTCCGGGATTCTCAGCAGCTACGTGACAGCTGTGCTGATAGACTTATACCGTGCCGATTTTAGTCAGCTCCCAGACTGAGAAACACAAGGGTGCTCTCTCTGTGACTGGATCTCCACTCGAGGGACTAAGTTGTGTGTGTCTCGTCCCTGTCAGCAGAGCTGAGAATTTCATTCATCAATAAACCAAAGCCAATAGCTGGAGACTTGAGATCTGCTTGGAAGTGGTTTATGGTATATGCTGTGCTTTATCAAGGAATTATGAGATGTTGTGGAGAAAAAAAAAAAAAAAAGATGACCTTTGCTTGAAATGTAACTTGAAAACAAAATAAAATGTGGAACATAATGTTAAAGTAGAATTGTGGTGGTGGCGGGGTGGCAATTGCCAATAGGAAACATGAATGTTTTTGTTTTTTGTTTTTTTTCTTTAAGGAATTATTGAATGACACTCCCCCCCCATTGGCTCTCTGATGACTGACTCTTGTCTGCACCTCCTGAGAGTACGGACCTCGCTGTGACTGGAATCGCTGTCATAACTGACATGAGATTCTCCCCGAGCTCTAATGAAGCCCATTTTGTACATCATTCCCAGTATGACAGAGCTTTTCGCTGGGGAACACTGACCATTCTTCTCCAGTCCCTTCAGAAACAGCATTCCCCAGATATTTTTTTCACAGCAGGAGAATTCAGGAATTTCAGGAGAAAAGAGTGCCCAGTGGACCCATTTTAGAATTTCACTTCCTCTCTCAAAGATGCAGGGCCGTAGGCGTTTAGTGTCCAGTCTGGCCTTGTGTGTTCTAGCTACGAAGGCACTTTGCTATCACTCTGGTGTGTTGAGGAAGAGGCCGGGGAGTCAGGAATGATCTTTCTTATTCTGTAGATTTAAGCATTATGTTTGTGTTCTGCACTTTAGAAGGAAAACAGTGTTAATTGCTGGCCCGAATCAAGCAGTCCACAGGGGTCCAGGCGCCTGTGGCTTTACCTGGTGGGTTCCAAAGAGAGATTTCCCCTTTTGAAACTTTCTGTGGGATATTTTGGAATGCATGGCTTTAGGACATCAAGGGGAAAGACATTCAGTATTGCTGTCGGGCTTGATTTCAAAAGTGATTCCATCAAATCCATGATCTCAGCCGTTACGTTGTCCAGTGACCGTAAGAGTCCAAAGATCTGAGCGATTGCTTGCTTTGTATCCGCTTTAAGCAATCCAGTTATCTTTATGTAAGAAGACAGTACAGACTAAATGGCTGACCTTTTCTAGCGGTGTGTTTTCGAGGTTTGTCTAGAATGTGCTATATTAGTCCTCTTAAGAGTTGATCCAAATGCATCTTCTAGCATCCATCTTAAGTTAGGTCACAGAAGCCACTATTAGTATAGCTTGTTTCTACTTCCCTCTGAATATTAGTTAGGTTTGAATTCACTGGCTTTGAGGTATGTGAGGGGACCTGAGCTGTTTCAGGGTTGAAAAGGAAGATAATGAAAAGTGAACCCAACTTTGAAAACTATCGGTCATCCATGACCTTAAAATGCTACCTTTGTAGTCAAATAAGAGCATATTTGTACTGAAATAGATTTGTTTAATCAAAGCTTTTGAAGTGTATTGGATCTCCCTCAATATAAGCCCTTGCTAACAGAGGCAGAAATCAGGATTGCTTTGAGAAAGCTTGGGGACCAGCAAGTGTTCTGGCTTCCTCTTGGAATTCTTTCGGCTTTCTATTTTGTCTTTTCCAGTCTGGCCATAGTCGTCCTCTGAGGATGGAGAGAGGGAGACACAGACATCGTAAGCAACCACTGTATGATGGTCCCCTTGGTAGTTTCCTTTCTAGTTTGCCCAGCTGTTTTGTAGTTTGAGAATTGATGTGTGTTCTAGAACCATCATGGTAAAAAGTTGCATTGACCAAAGCTCTACTTTTAAGTCCTGGTTTGTGGCTGTCTGGGCTAGAGTTGTCTCTACCTACTGTGTGTGAGCTTTCTGCCAGAACAGAGACAGCGCAGGTGGCCTCGCATTTCAGATGTCAGGAAGTTCTATCTGAAGCCTGCCTTTTGTGTGGCTCACATATGTCCCAGACACGCCTACTTGTACTGAATCCAGTGGTTTCTCTGTGTGTGTGTGTGTGTGTGTGTGTGTGTGTGTGTGTGTGTGTGTGT